TATTTGGCAGCGTGTTAATGATGATATATCCTTAATAATAATAAGATTGATATTGCAGATAATATAGACAAAAATATATACATATACATAATATATAAATATAATTATAATACGTTGAAAATGTGCTATAGAGACCTTCTACGATCTATCAGAATGTTAGTGCTAATTATTTTGTGGTATTTGGCCGGACGTTCGCTATCACTGCCACCACGTCCATCAGAAATTTTTCAACCATTTCTACCAATTGTACCACCACATTGTACCAAAATGATCATAACAAAATCATTGTTATCGCATGGTAAACATTATTTTAGTAGAATGAAAAAAAAGAAATTGAAAAAAAAATGAACAAATAGTTTCAATCAAATCTTTATCTAATCAAAAAAGCAAAAAAAAAAAGGAAAAGCAAGCAAGAAGTTTGAGGGTTTTTTGTTTTGTTTTGTTTTGTTTGTTTACTTAGTAAAAGATAAAAAGTTGATTGTCTGAAAAAAAAGTACATTTTATTTTTTTTTTTACTTTAGTTTTTTGTTTTTCTGTTTTTTTTTTTCGCTGCAAAAAGAAGTTGCATAAAAAAGTGAATAGTAGCAGAAAAAAAAAATTGCTCCGATTGGACATTCCAATTCTTTTCTTTGTCAATCGGTTTTCCTATTTTTTTTTTTGTTGTACTTTTTGAAACATCGTCGGGAAATTACAAAAGCGAACCGTTTTCCTTTTTTTTTTTTTTTTTTTGCATTGAGATTATTGTGAAGAATTTCTTTCTACGAAAAAAAAAAAAAAACTGGTAGTCAGTAATTTAGTGACGACCAAAGTGTGATAACTGTTTTGATAGTAAAGCAAATTTTTCTTCGGGGTTACTGAAAGAAAAAAAAAAGTGGATACAGTACAAATTGTCTGTCAGTTTAAACGGCTCGGTTTTTACGACAAAAGAGAAGAAGAGAACGAAAATAAAATCTGAACTATGTGACCGATTGAAGTGCACAGTTTTAATTGTTAATCTTAGAATTAAAAAAAGTATTACAATTTTTTTCAACATAAATTGAAGCATTCTTTTCTTTTTTTCAAAGAAAGTTATCAACAACATTCAGCGCGATAAAAAAGTGATTTCTTTGTTTAGCTTTTGGTGGTGATATGGTACGTACACCAATAATGAATGTACATATCGGTCTACAGAATACACTTTGTTTTCGAATAAGCAATAGATCTGATTCATCTTCAAATACATCGCAAGACGGCTTTTCTGACAGGTATCATTTTGTATCATCTCAATTACAGTAATTAAATAAAGTCTAATTAATTCAGTATTCAACAGCTTCATGATCACTTTCATTTCTGCATGTCAATTAAAAATGTAGCTTTGTTATTTTGATCATTTATTGTCATCAAATTTTTGTGTTTGAATGTGCGTAGAAAAATTTCATTTAATTGCTCAATGATTGATAAACAGATAATGAAACAAAATATTTTTCGTTAAGAGTCATTAAATCAACGGCAACGCAACAAGAATTTCATTAAGTTCTTTATCTTCTTTTATGAATAAAGAAATTATTGATTGAATTAATAAACAGAAGCCAAATTTTAGAAGCACCAGCGAAGGATGGTTACATACGTTAAGTTTAATACAACTGGAACACCATCATCCAATATCACAGCAGTATACATTTGCAATACCAGAAATTCGAACAACTTGCATATGCGACTGTGGCTCAGCAGCCGAAGTTTGTTCGGCTGAATCTCATCTATATCAGAAATGCAATAGTACAATTAATAAGGTTTAGACAGCTATTTAAGCTTTATTTTTATTTTTTAAACATTTATTGCAAAAATTTAGTCTATATTTGTTCTCTCTTTTTTTTTCTGCTATTTCTTTTTACAAAAGATAACTAAACGTTTCGTGACTTTTTCAAGTTTGCAGAACAATATTTGCTATCGTACTTTTCACGTAAGTCAATCAGACGCTGGATGTCCATCGGGAAGTCAATCAAAATTATGCTGTGAAGTATGTTTTTGTCAAATTCAAACGTATCTCTTAATTGGTAAAATTTAATTAAACTTTCACTATTTATTTGAAGTTTTTTGCCATTTATAAAAAATAAACTATACTTATTTCAGATTAGCCTTAAACCGTACAAAAACATTACATATTCAGCAGTGCAACTAGATCAACCGAACACATTTGCTGTTTTTAAATATGTAGCCTATGACTACACAGCTGGGCGATGGTATGAAAAAGATAAGAGAACCATTCGTATCAACATTGACGGTAGAACTCAAAGTCGATTCTTAGATAGTCGAAACAGGATTCAGCTTGGCGTCAGCGCTATGGGTAGAGCTAGCAAACAGTTGGAATCTGGAATGTATTTTGCACGCAGTAATCCTGGTGGAGAAATGGAAGGACTTCGAAAGCAAAAAATTAATGAACTTAACGAAAACAAGTATAATTTTATTGTTATAATTTTTGAATGAATAATTCGGCGACATTTAAGCTGTATAAAGATAGATTGAACATTAAATTTTTTATTCACTGATGAACATCAGCTATTTATGTGTTAATTCAATGATCGGTCATTTATTTTCAACAACATTTAGCTTCGACTATTTGGGCTGGTACAGAAAAGACGGTAGTGGAGATTTTGTGGTTCATCATGGTCTATTCAAAATGCAGAAGATACATTCTGTGAAAGTGAAAAATTGTAGGGAACAAAAATTACAAAGTTATTTGGATGCTCTTCATTATGTGGACAAAAGTGGTGAAATTGTGAGTATTTTTTTTTGGTTAGCATAATCTTAAAGGTCAATAAATGTTCATGCACAAAAAAAAAAAAAATAAAGTAAAATTTTAAAGTTTACTATTTAATACACTTTTGGTTGGCTATAGTTAATGTGCAATAATAAACTGCAACAATTTATTTCGATTACTATTGATTTTTTTGTTACAGTATAATTTTTTATATTATTTTTTTCTCATCTCTTTTGCTGACTTTTTCAATTACTGTAATTCAAAAAAAAAAGAAAAAATTTAAAAAAGATTATAAGACAAAAGACAAAAATTAAGAAAACATAAAGTGAAAAAAAATGAATAGCTTTACCAACAATATTGCCTAACTTATAAGCTACAGAAAATAACGACTAATTCTTTTTTTTTTTTTTTT